ACGATGCACTGTATTATTTTTTCCAGACAGAATGGCTGCACATTTATTCTCAGAGCAGTTAAAGGTCAAACCCAGTTTTCGTTTATACATAATCTTCAGATTTGAACCTCTGCATTATTAATCTCCTCCACTTTTTCATCTAGCCATTCTCACACAGATCCACAAACACCAAAAGGCCTACAGTAAAGGGATATGATCATTTCTACAGCAGACCCTTCTTCAGCACACTGAACAGAACAGCTAATGAATAAACAGATGCTCGCTATTTTATCCTTCTGGTTCAGTGTGGTCTTTGGCACGATTTTGACAAAACTGCATCTTATCCATCCTCTGCACCAAGTAAAGCCCAATGCAGTTCTCCATGGGCTCACCTCTTCCCATGGGTGCTCTCACGGGGACAGAGCTGCATCCCCGGCAGTGCCCCATGGCACCGCTTCACCAGCCCTTCCCCAATACTCAAGCACCAAAACTGGGGCAGGGAACAAATCACAGAGCAGTTTTCCCCAACAGACTTGGTCTTGGAAATGGCTGAGCCAACTTGGCTGAAATAAAAAAAAAAAAAAAAAAAAGTTTTTTTAAAGTCATTTTGGGGGAAGTGACTGCCCTAGAAAAAGCTAAATGCAGTTGGAACATATCAGAAGCAACTGAAATAGGGGATGTATAATGACCGTCAGCAGGTAGCCGTAACATTTGGCCATGCTAACTGCCTCACCAGCTGCATCTCATCTGCTGATTTTTAGCCTTTCCTCTTTTAAGCAGACTGAAAGAAACCAAATAGTATTTGGAAACTTCCACACAAGGCTTCAGTGGGTCAGGATTGCATAACTGATAAGCTTACAAGGAGGAAGATATGCTACCAAGGACACAGAAATTGAATATAAGTCTTGGAAACTGATTCAAGTCAAAACCCCAGATAGAAAAGAACCCCCAATTAATAAACCAATACAAAGTAAACTCTTTACTGTACTCCGTTTTCCCAACAGTCAAATAAACTCCATTTCCATCACTCAGGTACAGCACCCAAACAGTTGCCTGCTCACAACATCATTTCTTCCCTCATGTCGCCTGCATACAGACCTCCACTTCATCTTTTACCAGCTGTGCTCATGACAGCTACCTGCTTTCAGTGTCCCTGGGACCCATTCCTCAGCATCTCCTCCAGGGCTACAGCAGAGAGATGCCAATCCTCTTAGTGTGAGCATCATCTTATACCTGCAACAAACCAACTCCATGGTTCAGCCTGGAAGTCCTCACTGGAGGTGGTTACAGCTATGAAACTAAGTAAAGCTGTACTTACTCCAATTACATTCTCTGTAGATAAGCACAACAAAACGCTCCTTGGTTCATATTTTTTAATATTAACAATGATATGAACTGTAGCGAATTGTAAGCTAGAGAATTATGAAGATCATAATATTTGGAAACAACAACTACTATTTTGTAGCCTAAAAGCATGCCATGAAATGTTCATTGCAATGAACATTACTGCAAGACCTACAGGAATTACAAGCAAGTTTTCATCGTCTCAACAGCATGTCATGAGGAAGATGAACAAAAATAGACTAAATTTCTAGTTCTAAAATAAATTTGTAATTAGTTATTTTAATTCTATTCTAGTGAAAAGGCAGGGCTCTGCCATTTAAATAATTTGTAGGTTCATGGCCTGTTCATTGCAATGAACATTACTGCAAGACCTACAGGAATTACAAGCAAGTTTTCATCGTCTCAACAGCATGTCATGAGGAAGATGAACAAAAATAGACTAAATTTCTAGTTCTAAAATAAATTTGTAATTAGTTATTTTAATTCTATTCTAGTGAAAAGGCAGGGCTCTGCCATTTAAATAATTTGTAGGTTCATGGCCCCCAGCCATGAGCAGACGTCATGCTACCATTGACCCTAGCCACAGAGACTGATACAGCAGGCCAAGACTGATCTATGAGTGTCATTAAGAAATTAAATAGTTTTTATACATACATATATATATATATGTTTATACATACAATGTGGGATTAAAGTAGGCATTTGCATGCACCAGACTTCCCAGAGGGTATACTCTGCCAGAGAACTGTCACTCACTTTGAGCTCATTTGCCCAGAACTACGTAATCAAGAAAGTAATTCTTAACTTGCCGCTAAGAGTTTAACGATGGATTGGACTTGGCTGTGCAGAGAGACGGCTGCAGGGCCACCTCAACCCTCAACATATACCCCTCTTGGTGGATGTTTGGTCAAGCCAACAGACAATGTTGCAAAAGAGTAAGGTGGAGAAGCAGTTGTCCTTCCCAAGGATTGCAGACCAGGCTCTGTTATTATGCCTGTCCCCTTTTTATCTATGCATACATTTCATCACAAGAGTTAACAAGTAATAGGACCCAACCTGTCTCCTAAAAGCACCTGGTTTTAGAGCTTTTAGGAGGGTGCTAAGCCATGGTGCAGTGATGAGGATGATGCCGTAAAGGCATCTGACAGCTCGTCAATGTAACGCACAGAGCACCAATCCATTGTCAAGAAAATGCCATATTAAGTAAGTTGATGCAATTTCTCTCATTGCTGTGGTATTTAAAAATAAGTTTTAGTGCACTCAGGGACAAAAATATACTGTATAACTACAGACTGTTTATAGGCAGAGCTAAACTGTTCATTTAAATGGGAAACAGTATCATCTTCTCTTGCCTCATTACACAGACACAACACTTGAAAGACACATTGCACATGGGTCATCTTTTCTGACATGAGGTTTGCGTAATGAAGACAGACAGTTCTTCTTGCCCAAATTCCTCATGGTAATCATGGTTCTAGGTGACTGATGACAGATTTAGTGGATGTTCAAAATGGTTTGTTGAGTAAGAAAGCTGCTGCTTACCCTGGCAGAGGTAGAAGCAACCTCCCTTCCCCCATCTCCTGCAGTGGAAGGCTATGGTATGGTAACGGCAATTTTACAAAATATGCAGGTCACCATGAACACAGCTGCAGTGGGCAAAGCCTTCAGTGTGAGAACTGAAAGACCACATTTAATGAAGAGGAATTTTGACAAAAGAGGTGAGCCTCTTTTTTTTGCATGTGGAAATTGTTACTCTTGGTATTTCCAGAGCACAGAAAAGCACTGAAACTTTTTCATTTAATATATCTGTAAATGCCTTACTCGGACAATTTCATCTTTGTTCAGCACACCGGTGGCATTCTTTGTCCACTAAACATAGCTAGGGAATTTGACACATTTTTATTTAGTTTACAAAACCAACTGTACATGTATATGTCACTGGTACCGATTTATCATATGACCACAGGTTCTTTCCCCACCTCTGCTTAAACAGCCACTACATCCAACTTTGAATCCACGACCATTTTTAGTGTCAACTGACAAAATAAGCCTCCAACTCAAACAACTTAAAGGGATTAGTATAACAATCTTATGGCAAAACCAAAATGATGATTTTGTGATCATCATTGATCACAAAATCAATGATGATGTGACACTCTAAAAGCCTTTGAGACCAATCCTCAAAATCACAAACATCAGGAATTCAGGTTTTACCCTACATTAAATCCCATATACATCACAAATTCGACCAGTTCATGTCTAAGGATCTCCAAGTAACCTTGATTTTGCCCTGATCATGAAATGAAAGGGACAACTACAAATTTTGAGACAAGGGTTTTTTCTTCAGATAGAGCTGGAAAGAGGAACTGGAAACAGTCCTTGGTTATGGACCGATCATAAGGCTGCCACTTACAAAGCCTATCCACGACAGTTTTTACGCAAAAATGCTTCAGAAGTGGTCTGATACAGAAAGGGCAAGTCCAGCAGCATGGCTTTCCCCAGCATGCTCTGCGATAGGGAAACAGACGCAGATGCAGTCAGACTGCCCTGAACTGGTTTCTCAGGATCCATAGCCTTGATCTTCATCCCATACTTTGGAATCTTTCCAATCTGAATTGTTCATATAGCAGAAAAATACATTCTGGGGTCTCCGCATCATGGTAGGGGGAAAGAAAAATATAAACCAATAGAGACAGTGCTTGCAACTCTAAGGAGGAAAACAGTAAAATATTTTTGGGATGATTTCAGAATCATGGGAAACATGCAGAATGAAGCAATGGCTTTCACGTGCAAGTGGAAGTATGATTAAAATGTCCTTAGGCACATAACTCAAAAGTCGCCACAGAGCGATATGATGTAGACAAGAGAGATAAGAAGCTTGTGAACTGTGGTTTATCAATAGGACATACAAGATTAATGCATGCAGCTACAGAGAAGGAAGACAATAAAAACATAAATGATGGAAAATAATCCTCACACTAAGCCACTCTGCATGCTTTTGGGGAATGAACTGACAGCTATGTGTGCAGTAACATTCATGAGATCTACCATCCTCTTAGTTTTTACAAGTTAATAGTAACTGGTGCACATGGCAGCAACGTATGAGGACAGTCCTGTTGAAGCAAACACCAGTTTGGACTTAATATTAACTGTACAGCAAATCTTAATTTAGGTGCTTCAAAAGCAGACTGACCAACAAATTACCCTGAAGCAAAGCGTGACATTCAAAACATGTAATCCTAACGCAGAGAAAGATCACGCATCTTGGGGGCAGCTAGAATGTGCAGGACTTCATCCAAAGATGACAAGGTCCAGGACAACAATTAAGACAATGTCTTGCCCAGAGACAAATATATTATTAGAGATGAACCTAGACTAGATGGGAACAAACACCACTTTGCCACCTCTCAGCTGGCTAAGGGCAGCTCCTCTGCTGAGCATGAAGCCTTCAGGCCCCAGGAAGTCCCAACTCGTGCAGCACATCGTCTCAGCCACGCAGGCTCCTGCAAGCGCCCAAGCCACCACACTTCCCCAAGAACTAACAGCCCCATGGTGTGCCACTACCAAGCAAGGTACTTGGCTAATAATAACTACTTATCTGGCTAATATCCTGTTTTGTTATCAGATCCAAAGGCCCGTGGGACACGCTGGAAAAGCTGCTGCTAAGCTGAGCGGACCGTGGCTGTTTGAATGTGGAAGGTGACTCCCGTAGGCGTGCAAAACGCCCGCTGGGCCAGGGCTCGGCCGGTGGCAAACACGAATGAGCTGGCCGCCCATGGAAATCCTGTTCCAGCGGCAGCTCCCCGTCAGCACTTCTGTCTGTGTGCCAACACCCGCTCCTACATTCAATTCCCTCCGTCGGTTTATTTTGGCCGCCGACCACATCTCCACATGCTGTGGCCCACAGACGGGAATCTGTGAGGGCGGCGGGGTAACGGCACGGGGGTTGATGGCACAGCAACACCGCTGCCGGCCCGAAGGCGAGAAAAGCAGCACCGCCACCGGGCCGGGCTGTCTCCTCATCACCTCAGGAGGGCTCTGCAGCGACTGCAGCCCGTGAGAACGGAGCGACCTCCTTCCTCCCGCCGAGGGACATACGTGACGTCTGTAGGTGCTGTGGTTTGCAGGCTGTGGTTGCAAGCAGGCGGGTGCGGAAACGGGCTCGTTTCTCTGCGGCGCACAGGCGAGGGCTGCCTGGGCGCGCACGCGTAGCCACGCGTGCCGGTGAGCGTCCTCTGGCTCTGAAGAGCCATCAGCACAAACCAGCCCTGCGCAGGTGGGGTTTTGTGAACCACAAAATCACAGAATCATTAAGTTTGGAAAAGACCTTTAAGATCATCAAGTCCAACCATCAACCCAACACCACCATGCCCACTAAACCATGTCCTGAAGTGCCATGTCCACAGGTTTTTTGAACACTTCCAGTGATGGTGACTCCACCACCGCCCTGGGCAGCCTGTTCCAATGCTTGACCACTCTCTCAGTAAAGAAATTTTTCCTAATATCTAGTCTGAACCTCCCCTGGAGCAACTTGAGGCCATTTCCTCTCATTCTATCACTACTTACTTGGGAGAAGTAACTAAGTAAAGCACGTTGCTGCATTTGCTTTATCACCCTAGATCAAATGCTGCTGCAGATGACTCCCATAAAATGAGATGCATCACTTAATAAAGAAAATAATATTTACCCAGATACTTTGAACTTTATTTTCAACATCTATCTTCAAAGCAATTAACTAATATTAGGGCATTAATTTTCCTCAGACCTCTGCGATGCGGGCGAGTGAGGTTAGGCCTTCTCCTAGATTACACAGTTAAGGTGTGATGCTTCAAAACTGCTGCCCTGAAGGGGAGCAGACGTATCAGTATCCGCGACGAAACCAGAGCTCAGAGGTCTTAATGTGCCAGCCCAAACCCCCTTCTCCATGAGGAGTGAGTCGGCAGCAGGGTGCAGCGGGATGCGAGGCAAAGCCAGCAGAACAAGGCTCACCACCACCGCCACCGCGAGCACGCAGCGTGCACGATGCACCCATGTAACAGATCCAGTGAAGTTTCGTTGAAGAAGCGAAGCTCCACCACGATGCCACGCAGAGCGGCTTCACCTGCGTACGTATGCTGACGTATGCTGGCAGTGCCCCTTACTTACACCACTGATGGGCCCAAATCAGCCCAAAACACTTGTCACGATGAAGATCCAGGGATATCCAGAGGAGCATGCTGCACAGGCACAGCGGGGTAGGAAGAAGGGCTTTGCTCCCAGGGGACCGTACGTCTTGTCCAGGCCTCAGGATCTTCTCCAGCAAGCGCAAGACCCCCATCACACACCTCCAAAACGAGCTGGAAGCCAGGACTCCCACCACCCGTTGCAGTCTGCCATGGATGCCTGCCTGGCTATCACCAACCCCACTGACCTTCGCATGCCCTAGTTTACCCCCTGTAAAACTGGTGATGCCATGATGATGGCTTGTTTCCAGAACATTTGGAAACCACCTTGAAAAGTCCTATGCTACATAAACAGCCTCACAGCCCTGCCCCACCCCCCGCCGTAGATTTATCAATAAACGAATTCTCAGAGAAACAGTGAAAATGGAAAACGGGAGCTTCATGGTGGCTTATTTAAACACAGGCGGACAATTGGACCTCAGCAGCAGAAGTGCGCACGCTCTGCTCCTTGGGTGCATTTCAAAGGCAACTCTGCTATGCAGAGGTGAAAATGAAGTGCTCTTAAAAAAAAAATACTCCCCTCACCCAACACTGCGGACTTTAATAAATCCAGATGTCTAATATTTCCATTCTTAAAACCGTGCCTCGTAAAAAAAAAAAAAGTCAAAAGAAAAATGTAAGGAGGAAAACATGCTTTATATTCATTAAAGAGCTCACCGAACTGCACAGCCTACCTGGGAGAGTCGAAGGACAGTTAAAAGAAAATAACAACACAAAGTACAGGCATTTCAAATCATAGAGAGCAAACAGTCAAGGGCAGTGAAATGTTATGAAGTAGCTCAGTACAACTGTTTAACAGTCTCAAAGATACTTTTAAACATTTCATTATCGGGAAATCCAAATGTCAAAAAATCCTGAAATTGGCTTAAAAATAAATACATTTTTTATGAGTAAAACTGGAGTTCCTTCATTTGCTGCTTCATTTCCACAACTTTCAGCACACACTCTGCTCTAGTCATGTTGTCAAACTTATCTCTTCAAAAAAGAACAGAAATTACATTTTCCTGCATGTCAGAGGAAAAGTTCTCAAGAAAACCAGTATCCCGAGAGCTGGGGCTTTAGGAAAACCATCAAACAGGCAGAGACCTTTACTGACCACATCAACCATGGTTCGTGACTGGATCCTCACCAGTATCTCAGACATTCAGTCTGAGATTTTTAGGAGCACCTTTCATAGATTTACAGGCAATAAATCTATCAAAGCCTTCTACTTTTCTTTCATCTTTGGGTCTGGGGGGTGTGTGTGTGTTATAAAGAAGAATGCCAAAGAAAAGCTCATGGCGTTTGCAAGGGAAAAAGAAGACAGTGAAAATAATTCAGCACTAGGAAAAAGAATCTGGATTGGTAAGAGTTGATAAAAATAGGAAAAAATACAAATACAATTCATGCAACAGTCCCAGGACAAGAGATAATTTTTTTTGTAAGCTGTCCTTGTGACCTTATTATTATTTCATAAATCACTCCAACACTTTGAGATTTTTCCGATACTAACACAGAGAAACCCCTGCAGATTTGGGGACGGAGGCACAGCCAACAGGGCTGTGGGCCAAGGGCTGGAGCACAATCCCACCACCCCTCGCCGCTGGAGCTGGCTGCTAGGACTGGAAAGCCCAAGTGCTTTGCAGAATGAAGTAACCCTTATCAAGGTCATGCTTTGACTACAAACATGCTGCAAGGATCTTAATAGAAATTAATGATTGTGTAAAACACGGTGACTTAAAATTTCATATACAGCATTGTGATTTGAAAATTTGGGCTTCGATGTCACAGCATTTCCTTGGTTTCAGCTTCTTCTAAAGATGTAAAAGCACCACCTGCTCATTCTTAAGAGAAAGTTTAACGAAAACACCAAGGGACAGTGATAAATTACTAACTCGACCACCGATTTAGCAGAATATTCTTAACCCGATGAAGCCCTTCAGACAAGGCAAAACTCATACTGATTCTATCATCAGCACAATAAAGATCAAAGATGGAGGGACTTTTTTATTCGCCAACTTATCTGCTTTTTGTTTTTTTAAATCCCACCATAAAAATAATTTACCAGATCAAACTCTCCATCACCACAGTGAAAAATGAGGAGTAATGCCAAGAGTCATGGAGACTACCACTGAGCAAAACACTACGGAAAATCCAGTCCCCTCTCTCTTTCTTTTTTGGGCATAACTAGTGCTCATCAGCAGCTGGTTAATCCTGCACTTCCAAAATCCCAGCGGGAAGCAGTGGATGCCAAGGGACCCCCGTCCAGAAGGTACACAGCCCATCCAAACAAGATGTCTTGCTCTACGGCAGAACACACTTATCTCTGCAAAGCCTTTGTTTAACCACCCCAGCTGAAAACACATGCTGATGACAAGCATTTACAAGTAATTTAACCTAAAATTCATTGTGGGTTTTTTTAGTCTTTGCTGGAAACAACAGTTGGCAGCCATACCCAGCCGCTGCAGCCTAAGCGACAGGCACTCCTGATAACATGAAACGGAGGCTGGCAACATTTCCCATGGCAAGCTTTCACACAGTTTGCTGGCAATTTTTTCAGAGATGCTTTTCTCTATCATTTTATGTAAACTTTACATCAAGTTCAGTAAACTTTTGTTTAGTAAACTCAAGGAACTCATTTTAGTAAAAAACATGAAGAAAAAAAAAATCCATGAAAATCTGAAAGAGGAAGGGAGTGAATAATTTGACCTGAAAGCTCATGTGTTGACCAGATTTTCACTGTAAGACTAATCACTGAAAAAAGCACCGAATGGCAAAATTCACTCATCATAAACTTCAGAGATTTCAAGAAAGCACTTGACAGACTCCATCACTATTCACTCTGGAACATCTTGAAGTGTTAGGCTAGCCAACAAAAATAATTACATCATCAAGCCTTTATACCAAGCTGCAGCTTGAATACTTAAAGCAAATGCAGATTTAAGTGCAGCATTCAACGTCAGATCAGCAAGAATTCGCTCACTTCTGTAGCTGGGCACTGCAATTGAAAACAAATACAAATGTAACAATATACAGTTTAAGAACAGTCCTCTTCAAAATCCAGCCATTGCTGATGTCCCCAAGTCTTCCAAGTGTATCCTACCCAACACGCAAGACTGATAAAGGCCAACAATTGGATCCAGCGCTGGAGAAAGATGGGGTTAGCAGCCTGCTACAGAGGAAAAAATGTAATTAAAATACAACTTCCATCTTAGAAGAAGTGATGCAGTTTATATAGTAATTGGCCGTAATTCAGAGTCAACTGAGATAATTTCACCAACTGAAAAAAGAGGGTATTTCTGCTTAGCATCTTAAAGAGGATTCATCCATTAGAAAATGTTCTATGGCTCAAACTCTTGAAGATTGCAAATCTTCAGCTCAGAATGCTATTCCTACCTTGATATACAGACAAGAAAGCAGCAAATCCATAAAGGGTACAGGCAGACAAATGCTGTTAGACCCAAATGTATGAGAAAATCCTGAGTATACCATAAAATGAATTGATAATCGATGCAAAGATATACACCAAGGTATCTCTTATCTGAAGGATTTCCCAGAAAAGGGGTTGGAAACAGTTGGCAAGCATGGTAGGGTTGCAACTTGAGCAGAAGAAGGTAGGGGGAAAAAAAACCTGGAAAAAAGCGGAAAATGACACTGGAAGGTTTGCAAGCATAGGTGGCTCTTTGGAGTAGCTCCTACTCGTCTTCAGCTACACAGGTACATAAAAAGCTGCATTATTAGATCCTGGCCGCAGCAATACAGGCACCAAAAAGCAGTAGTTTTGCTCATGCTCACCTGGACTCTGGGCTTTTTGCCGGCCGGGCTCTGCCAGCCGGAGGCGGTAACTCTTTGCTGACAGCCATGCCAGCAGGACTCAGCAGCCCCAACACGGCTTCAGCCTCCGCTACGCTCCTTCCCCAGCAAACCCGCTCTCGCACGTGCGAAAATACAGCCCCATCTTGCACCCTTGGAAACGATATTCACAGGAAAACTGCCCACAAGCAAGCACATGGGGGAATAGCAATAAATCTGTCCCTTTGTATAACTGATCTTGGCTCAGCTAAGGG